GGGTGGGCCTAGAATCCCCAGAATTTCTAGAAATTAGACTAGGGTGTTGGGGCGCGTTGTTTTTTGGGGCCCGTAGAAATTAGAATAGGGTTTTGGCGTGCGTGTTTTTGTTTTTGTAGTTTTTAATGATGGTTGTAACACGGAGTGCTGAAGAAATCATTTGAGTCGTCAAGCAATCATCTAAGCTGAGGTTGATGGAGTGTGCAAAGTTGTAGAACCTTGGCCCCTTCCTTACGGTATCCTTGCACTACCCCTATGGTACCCTCAAAGCCGGCAACCCCCTTTCCAGGATCAGGAGGGACCTATATACGGCCCCATAAAAATACTGAATGTACTACATACTTACTAGGATCCTTATTGCTGCAGGGAGCCCGAAAAATAGCTCTGTTCAAAGAAACTCCCAAGGAATAACACCGTGGTTGGATTGCTGCCCCTCGTCCATTCACGTCCCAGCCACCTGAAGGTAGCTGATCTGGGCATCCACCCCATCGCTGCACTTGATCCTCCTGTGAAACTGCCGGTACTGCCCGTGCGTGCACAAACAGCAGATTCAACTCAGCGACATGCAGCAATCTGCTCAACATAATGCACACATCAGCGCCCCTCCTGCCAGAGCCTGGTTGCGGCAAAAGACCGGCTGCCGCAAGCAGAACACAGGAGAGTCCTTGTTGCTTTCGCAATGGCACAGTTCATGGCATGGCAGACGTCCCTCAACACGGCGTTGCTCCGACTGCAGGAGTCCAGGATTCAAGCTTGCGCTCGGTCCTGCTATCACCAGGCACAACACTGCTCAGCCGAGCCCTCTCTGGTCTGTTACGAAGGAGTGTTGGACCCCAGTGTCTGACTTGCTCTGGCCGGTGGCTTTCTATCTGGCTGTGTCTGGGTCGCCCTGCCAACTGCAACCGGAGTGCCACCGACCTGACAGGTCTGCAAAAGCGATGAGAGGGCTCTGCGATGCGCGCAGGGAGATATTCTAGCCTAAGGCCGGTTGCTGATATGACGCTCCCCTCGTCGTCTCGACATCCCTGGGTTACGATCAATGACCGAAATCGTGATCTCGCCGAGGGCCTGCGCATGTTCTGGGCAGCCATGGTCTTTCCGCCACAGTGTGGTGGGGGCTCTTCCAGGGGTGCTCTTGGAATGGTTCTGCAGGGCTTAGACTGTGAGGTGCACTTTCACTGCTTTTTGGCTTGCACAGAGTCTTGTCGTCCTTGGCCTTGCTCTCGTCACTCTTGTCTTCCGTATCTGTACCGTGCCTGGGCGCTGGCAAGCTGAAAGCTTGCAGCTCGCCAGCTCCTTTTCACATGCTGTGCGCGGCTCTGAGCAAGACCTACGACGACATGCATACACAACTTACGGTATTGAGTGCTGGTATTAGTCATGAGATGGTCGGCTCAACTACCATGCCACTATCTTTGACAAGGACATGGCACGAAGCCAGTCTCTGAAGCGGTACATTGAGGTGACTCACCAAGCTTCGCCATCACGCAAGCATGCGACGATCCGAATCGAACGCCTTCACTTGCTCCTGGCGAGCAGCTTCGCCGTGGCCCCATTCATAGCGTCACCTGCGCCTTTCGGGCGGAAAACACCCCCAATACTCCATCGAAGCGGGTGCAGATCGGCTGAAGCCTGCATGGCCAAGCTTTTTGGAGTGCAGTTTCATGTCGGGCTCGTGCGAACAGACGAGCCTGCGGCTTCCTCGAAGAACTCATCTTGAAGCTTATCGAGAAGACTAGATAAGGGCCTGGTGTTATACAAGACTGCATTGCCGCATTCGTCGGAGGCCACAGGCGACTGCCCCGGCGAAGTGCCAAGCCTCCATTAATTACTCGTCAATGAGCTGCGCTTGCTCGGACACGCCCCGCGGCGCAGAAGGCAGTTCTGCTCCAGCACGCCCCGACCAACAAAAAGTCTGAAAGACTCGGACTCGGGGCCTTTGAACTTCGAATCCGTCGCGGTGTAGAAGGTTTAGGGCTTGGGGTTCGTACAGTATCACTCTATGGGGCCTCTCAGAAGAAGACTAATGTGAACGGCTGAACACCTTCCGGAAGCCCGGTGCTTCCTTGCAGTTCTGTGCAACGCAGAGTGCGAATAGCGGAGACCCAAGCCAGAGCGAGTCGCCCCCCCTCTACCTGGCGGCCTTAGGAACTGAGGAAGTTGAGGGGAGCTTATGGCTCTGGGAGTATAGGGAATTCTTGTAATTAGGAGGGGCTTTGGGGTTTCGGGCTCGGGCTTCAAGTCCCTACTGCTGCCCTGAGGTGCTTCTGCTCGCAGGTCGAGGGAAGGTATCCTGGTGCAAGGAGAAGGAAAGTCTGACCAGCCGATGCAAGTCACTTCGAAGAGGCCCTCCACAGGCAGCTAACTTCGAAAGGAAAACTGTCGGCTCTTTTCCGGAAGCTAGAGAGGTGAGCCAGCTTTTGAATCTCTGAAAGGCTTCTGAAGCAACCTATATGCTTTCGATGCGGCATCAAGGCATACTCGGATCCTCTGTAGGGGCATATGGGACAGCAAGTTCGAAAGCTGGTTCGAGAATCTAAGGCTTGACATGTTCCATGTAGCCCCCCGACTGTTGGTGGAAGACGGAGCTGTACACCCTGGGCTGCGGCGCTGCTTCAAACAAGCCATCCTTGCAAAAAGCGAAGGCTAGCAAAGGTTACTGATCGGGCAGTCTCTGCACCATCGCAACTTGTATGGCCCAAGCGTCGCAGCCCCGGCTGGACATCATCATCGAGAAGCATCAGCTAATCATCGACTACTAATCAGCGACCTCGCCCTCACGGAAGGCAGATACGATAGCTTCGTCCCGCGCGCCCAAGACACCAATTCCTTGCTCAAGGGCGATGGGACCGAAACGAAACACACAAGCTGGCCCCAAAACAGACACGGTGCTTTTTTGAAAGCCTGATGGGGACGGAAGAAGTAGTAAAGCAATAATATTCCCTCATTCTCACATCTACTTCTAAATATCCCACAATCCCTGTTCTAATTATCAAAGCCCCGCTTTTGCTATCTCGCCAAGCTTCGCAGGCCCCGGCCGAGGCGACTAAGCCAGTTCCGTCGCTGCGTGCGTGGTGTGCTCGGCGTGCTCGGCATGGACTTGCCGAACCCGGTGCCAAAGCCTCCCAGGCGGCTCTGGATAGCCGGAATGCGTGTTGGGGGGCGGGGGGGGGGGGGACGGGGGGCGGGCGTTTCGACTCACACCCACTCGGCTGGCATGGCGTGACACTCACACTCGGACAAAGACAGGCAGTCTAGGGCTTTTGGGTTTAGGGTCTAGTCTCGTAGGACACTCTCATGAAGGGAACCGCACCATCTGTGACACCTCATCCGCGAAGCCAAGATTGCCTGCCTCGGCATTTCAACAGCGCACCGTAAGTTTCTCAGGACCTCCAAACCACAATTCCCCCTGAACAAGCCGTAACCGTAGCCACCTCCTCCCCCGAGGTCCTAAAACGGCTTCATCTCCTGGTCCCCCCTTCCACGGCCTTCCGTGCGCTGTGTTCGAGGACTGGGCAGCGCCAGGCCCATGGCTGGCGTGTCCTCTCGGGTTTAGCGGCTTGGCGTTTGCGGTTCAGGGTCTCGAGGGTTGAGACTTGGGCTCAGAGACTAGGATGATTAGATGACAAGGGTGCTGGGCTTCGGTAGCTGTGGTTTCGGGTTTGGGATGGTTCGGCTTCCGGCCGAGCTGATTCTCCGCGCAGACAATCCTTCAGCACTAAATCCTAACCTAATCCCTGCACTCTCTTTTCAACCCGTGCCGAGGCCAATCAGGGTTTACGGCCACCCGCTCTCAGAAGCCCGCGCTCGGGTCGTGGTTCGAGTTTTCCGGGTTGTTTAGGGCTTAGGGTTGTCTGCGTTTTGAGGGTGCATGGCTGAAACGAATCAAACTCTCGCAGCATCCTCCAAAAGCACTTCTTCCAGGTCGCTTCCTGGCGATTGAAACTCATACAGGGGCAGTATTGATTAGACAAGTTTGTCGGGGAATTATGACAGGTTTATTATGGTTTATGTAGGGGCAAACAGGAGAATAGTATTCTTCATGCAACAACATCTGGCGGTTTCGGTGCTTAAGCCAGCCTAGGGATTTTGAAAGAGCGACGAAGGGGTCCATTTAAGTGTCTTAAGGAAGTACCCTCAGGTTGAGTGCGTCCGGCCCTTCAGCGGCCCAAGGTTGTAGGAACCAGGGATCGGGGGGGCAGGTAGGTAGGTGAGCAGGCAGGCCAGGGATGGGTGGAAGCCTGGCGTAGGTGCATGTATCATGTATATACCCACGCATGTCTCCAGTACACCTTGACATTTATCATTTACTGGGTTGTAGTTTCGGGGCCTGAAAAGTATTTATGAATAGGTACCACTATAGAGACTATAAGGGAAATTTTAAAGTTTCCCAAATTGCCACCTAGTTTAACATATTCCACGTCTCTGGCCTTCGGTGTTCAGCCTCTGCAGCACAATCGGCACCACCGCGATGGGCGGAGGCGGAGAATCGGCGGAGACCTCCTCATCGTGCCGGGCCTTCGGAGGAGGGTTCGTGAGTTGCACAGCGCCGCCCGAAACTGGAAGCAACAGAGCTCCGGGTTTAAAGCAGCTCAAAGTTCAGGGGTTCTGCGCGCTGTCCACCTCCCAAGGCCGAAGGTTTGAGTTGAAGGCTTCTCTTAAGAGCTTAGTGCGCACTGGTCTCTCGCGAAAGCGCTCTGAGGCTTCACGCCTGCATGCTGTGTGGCTCTGGCAAATGTGCATGGAAGGATCCTGCCTGGGGCACTGCTTCCTGTCCAGGTTCTGGAAGTGCAAAGGCCTCATCGCGGATCCCAGGTAGTCGGATCTACGGCACCTACTGCCTTCAAGGCCATGTGACCCACTGAAGGCTCAGGCGGGTAGGGTTCGAAGCCCGAGCAGTAGCGTCCATAAGACCATGAGACCAGATGCTGATTAAACTCACAAAGCGCCATCCACCAAGCAGAGAAGCCCGGAAGACCTAAAGAATTGGTCATGCCCAGGCACCCCCGACCACTCGCTCATGAATGAAGGACTTGGCACAGGAGCGTGGCTGTAGCCTCCTCAGGCATGGCATGTTTCTCCCACCGCTTTCGAGGCTCTGGGTTCGGATTTTGCAGACAACTTTGCCGGTTGCAGGCCGGCACGAAAGGACACACCCTCTCTTATGTACAGCTCTTGAGGACCAACAATACGGGAGTCCTGGACCCTAAGCCATAAGCCCGAAACCAACCCTAAACCCTAAAAACAAACCCAAAACCCTAAACCCTAAACCCAAAACCCTAAACCCAAAACCCTAAACGCTAAGCCCGAAACCAAAACCGAACATCTCCCAAAGACGCGAAGCGCTCGAGGAGCCTCCATCGGCTCCTTCCGGAATCTCTTGGGCCACCTGCACCCAGGGTTTAGGGTTTTTTTTGCCTCCTACAGGCTGAGCTAGGGTTTAGGGTTTAGGGTTTAGGGTTTAGGGTTTAGGGTTTAGGGTTTAGGGTTTAGGGTTTAGGGTTTAGGGTTTAGGGTTTAGGGAATGGGGATTGTAGAAGAGAGCTGGATCTGTAGTCTGTTTGTGTCTGCGGAATCACAGCACGAGCCGAGGGAGGTACCTGTAGTGCACCACACGCTCTGATATTGATTGCTACATATCTACATGTATATATGTATCAATGTATGTGTATCAATGTATATGTGTATATATATATATATATATACATACATATACAGAAAGCATATGTACACATGCAAATTTATGTGTGTGTATACTAGCGTGTGCGTGTGGGCGTGTGTATTCATAAACTATGTAGACATGCGCACGTAAACAGATAGACAGAGAGAGAGAGAGAGAGAAATAGACAGATAGATGGACAGATAGA